TGGTTACGCCCCTGCCAATAGCAATACACTGTGGCACTTATTTGCACTGATGTAAAAATCAGGCTCAAATTTCTTTGCGATTAAGTAACTGCTGGAGAAACTGTTTTCACGGCACAGATTTTCAAAGAACGACCATCAAGATGGCTATCTCAACTCAATTTTAATGTTAAGGTGGGACAGCCCCTTAACGTAAGGTGCTGTGAGTCGTTGTATTGACTGCAGGGCTGCGGAGTCGATGGATTTTCGGCGACTCCGACTCCGACTCCGACTCCGGCTTTCAAAAACCAGCTCCGACTCCGACTCCGACTCCGACTCCGGGCAGAATTGTCGACTCCGACCGACTCCAACTCCCGACTCCGACTCCGCAGACCTAGCAGGGCTGCGGAGTCGACAGATTTTCGGTGACTCCGACTCCGACTCCGGCTCGGGTTTCTAAAATCAACTCCGACTCCGACTCCGACTCCGGTCACAACTGTCGACTCCGACCGACTCCGACTCCGACTTCGACTCCGACTCCGCAGCCCTGGTATTGAGGTTGGGGACACTCCTGGTCACCTTATGATGGGCGGCGGAGTATTTCGTAAAAAAAACGACAAAATTGCATAGATCAGCTCAGTAGCTCGGCGCCGCGAGGTAGTGCTAAAGGTGAATGATTTTTGAGCCAGGTGCATGCACACTGCACAGAGCTTCAGCCTCTGTGCATTCGCGGCGAGTTCAACTATGTGATGACCGCCTCCAGTCATGGACTAGAAGCCGGTCAGTTGAGCAGCAGTGGTGGCGCCCGGCCGGTCAGCTCGACGCCACCCGACTACAATACCGACGGTTGGCTGCCCCAAAGAGCGGCCGGGCGACGCGGCGTCTGTGACCGCGCGGCCGCCGGTCGCCGACCTCTGGCGCCGCGCGCCGCGTCTCTGCCCTCGGGCGCGCTCCCACGGCCGCTCCGCTCCCGCTCCCAGGCTCTCAACGGCCACTCCCAACCGCTGGCTGAGCGGTACAGGTGGTCCACCCCACCCCCAACGGCCTGCAAACTCGGCACGCCAAAAGTATATGGATACAATGTCAAAGACTAAGCACGGCTTTGGACTAAGCATATTTTCTAACTACGAGCGTAGGTAGGGGAAGGTAGGGAAAGATGCCCAGGGGTTTGTTATGTCATATACCATTCGAATATGACGATCGGAAAGCAAAAACTTTAGTTTCAACGGAAGTTGCCATCATTTTTCTCCATAGCATATTACTTTCGTGCCTGAAATATGACAATTTTTTTTTGCTATTAAAGGGACTATCCCACCTTCTAAAATGTTGTTAAAACCAGGTGCCCGACTTCATAGATTGGATGACCAGGAACACGGTTCTGGCATTTATTTTTCATTAAACATCTTAGGCTTCCCGTATTCCAAACACAAACTTTCAAATATGTGACGTCACAGCCCAAAATTACCTCCTTCCCCAGGCCACATTACTGTCATAAAGCTGATTCTTTTTACTCTGTAGGCACCACAACAAAGTTCAGACCAAGTTTTAAGCGATTTTTCAACGAACAAACCCATTTAAATCAGAATGACTAAACGAGGTGACGTCACCTAACGGTCGCTCCATGTTGAAGATAGGGCCTTGTACAAGGCCCATTTTCAAATGAAGGGAACGAATTTCTTCAACACCAAGAGGCCGCGGGGGTTGCAACCTAGATAGATAGTGGTTTCTGAACCTCGCCGCAAACTTGGCTATCTCAACTCAAACCCCATGTTAAAGGTGGGATAGTACCTTTAAGTGACCTTTAAGCATTTTCCTGAAGTAGTGCAAGGTGGCATCTTACCTCAGAGGGTGGGTAAGACGCTCCCTGGCGTTGGGGAAGATGCCCCTCCGCACTATAAGTGACATAAATGGGCACATGAATTGCCTGAACGAATCAGCTCTGAGTCTTCAGTGAACAGTTTGAACGTGACTCGTGCAGCGACAGCATTCCTTTTTTGGGGAAAGACTGATTTTTTTTCGGGATCCCGGGATAGGCAAAATTTCGGGATCGGGATTAAAATTTCGCCGGGATCCCGGGATCCCAATCCCGGGATTGCAGTCTCACACATTCCATGAGACTCACGGTACCATCCCGGCCTGGCCAGATGGGCCGCCCACGAACCGACGAAGCGCAAATAACGAAATGTTTTATATATGTATCGTAGTAATGGTATGTGTCTCTATGATGTGTTTACCCGCGCCTCACTGGTGGTGGTGGTGGGGGGGGGGGGGCTTTTCATAGCCCCACTCTCGTTTTTCTGTCTGCAATAACTTTTAAACCACTAAACGTATCGACGCCAAACTTTCAGTACCTTCGGCTGCATCAATTTGACTCCTTGTGTCAACATATGAACTTCATAGCTACCATTGGTTGGCCGGCAATGACGTCATAGTGACGTCATGTTCGGCCAATTTCGGCGCAAAACATTGAACCACGGCAATCGCTCTTAGGGGCTCAGTTTTAAGCTAGATCCAATTTCTTTGGATGAGAGGACTCCGAATAGACTGCTCTATCAAACTGCTATCTCGGATTTTCATAATTTGGAAATTTATGAAAATTATATATTCCTCGCCGGACCTATTGGTTTTCTACATACGGCCGAAAGGGGGGGGGGCGAGTACGCCCCCTCGCCATTTCGCTTCTGGTGGAGCTAGCGCGTCCCGGAAAAAACGTGCGTGTGTGCCGTTACGAGACGCAGAGATTGATACCCGATTTTAAGGCCCTAGCTCAACCAGTGACCTCTGAGGTCAAGTCAAGTGCCCCAAGGTACGGTTCCGTTTTTGGTGAATAACTTCGCAAAAAACGGCCGCTGAGCCGCGCTTTTGGCAACATCGTGTTCACCTCGCTCAGGCGCGTCGAATGATATACTTTTTATTTGGGTGAGGTCAACTTAGGGTGTTGACCTCAGGTCACGGTCAGGTCAGCACCCCCAGGTCACGAAATTGGTCGGAGTAGGTCATGTTGCATATCATTCGATTCGGCAGGTCTTCCTGAGTCCATTGGTGTTCTTCCCGACTCGCTAGCTCAATTTGGTAGGAAGTTATTGACGAAAAACCAATATTTTTTTTTAATAAATTTAGTCCGAACCTTTTGATGGGAAGGATTCACAAGGACAGAGCCACCGCTAAGCGTAGCTTGATGCGGTGACCCTGCCCTCTACCCTCCGATCGCGCAATTCCAGTTCTATGGCAGAATTTAGGGTCCAAAGTTTAACGTGCGCACATAGCCGCGCACGGCCGGTCCCCTCACTGACTTCGCCTGGCTACGGCCTGCCACCAACCGCAACCATACCTGTCAGGAGGCCCATAAATGTCAAGCGCCCGTCGCGCTTCGAACCCGGACTGTTATAACCAGGAACACGTGCTCTCACTACGCGGAGTCCAACGCTCTACCAACTGAGCTACGGGACCGGCAATATGACCCTAATGACGTCATAGATGACCTCAGCAAGGTCAAATTGCAAAAGTGATGCATCTAACCTTGCGAGGGATGCACCAAATCACGAACGGTTCTGTGTGCTTGAGATAGTTGGAGATCGTTCCCGCCGCCAAAATAGCAGTCTTCATTTTTCCCCATTGACTTATAATGGTGAGGTCACGAAAATGACCTGACCTCATATGACCTTTAGGAAAAATCAGATATACAAGTTGTGAGACTCGTAATGGATATTAGGTCCTGCAAGTTTCACTTCCCTGCAAAAGCTCCTGTGGCAGTGAGGGCGTTGCGAAGTTGCGACATCTGAAGACCGTGCAGAGGTTCACTTATGGCGTCATAGGTCAGTGACCTTACTGGCCCTGAAAATGCAGTTGGTGTCAAAAGATCTGGATTGAAACAAAGGTTTCAGCTCTCTATCGCCAGCGTGTTTAGAGCTATCGCGAAAAAAAACCCTATGGGGGCGGCAGAAACCCCCTTCAGCCGACGAGGAATATATTAAAATTCAAAATTTATGTTTTTATCTTTCTTTTAAAAAGTTTTTGTCTTTTTGAAAAAAATGTAATATATGTGATAGAACACATCCTTGTGATTTACTCTAGCAAGTTGTAGCCAGATATCTTCAAAAATAGCCAAGGTATACGCATTATAGCAAAAATTTCACAATAATGAATTTTTCAAAACAATGTTCAGCACGTATTTGACATCATACACCAATATAAATAGCACCATTGTTTCCTGAGCTCAAACTGCATCCGTTAGACACCTTTTTTGTTGAAAAATTTTAACTTTAAAATTTGACCTTTTTTGGCCTTAACTGGCTTGACCTAAGCTAACTAAATGCAACTCAAAATAGCTTTAAGTGACATAAACGACATCGAATTCGCAATATTTGGCCTAAATGGACCATAAAACATGTGTCACGTGACCTATGTATGCTATAAGATTTCCGTAACCTGTGATGACCTGACCCTGACCTGAAAATCAAAGTACAAGTTTGGTACCCTCAGGGTATCCAAAGCATCTGTTCACGAGTGTGTAAACCAAAAGATTTCCGTAACCTGTGATGACCTGACCCTGACCTGAAAATCAAAGTACAAGTTTGGTACCCTCAGGGTATCCAAAGCATCTGTTCACGAGTGTGTAAACCAAAAATGAGCCTGATCTGACTTGTAAGACGGCGGCCAGAGCCTTAAGTGTGAACAAGCCAAATATCGATAATTTTTACTTTGACGTGACCTGTGACGTCATCGGTGACCTTGATGTCAATGAAATTAGGTTTCGGTCGACAGTTTGTCCGGGGCTATCAGACGCCGTTTGAATTTTGACGATCGGCCCAGTAGTTTCGGAGTTAACAGGGGTTGGGGTGTTATTCATAGCCCCCCTCCCCCCGTAGGGCGCGTTATACGCAGATCCCAGTGGGGCGCGGCTTAATGCAAATGAAATAGGCTAAAAAGAATTGAGACAGTTAACCTACCCATTTTTGTATATGTAATGAACGCTACAAAATGGACTGCACTGACTCTGTCTGTCTGTGTGTTTGTGATTGCAGGATGGTGCTGTGTATCACGGGCATCCCGATCGAGACGATCCCGCAAGACTCGCGCACGCTGTTCCAGCTGTACCCGCACCTGAAGGAGGGTGCTCGCCACCTCTGCAGCCTGCCGGCCAAGTGTGTTGGTCCGGCCGGTCTGCTGTACGTCAGCCAGCGCGAGCTGGCCGTCACCGTGCCGCACGACAAGAACGTCTCCGTGCTGGGTACCGACGACTGCACCACCTGTCACATGGCCGTGTTCCGGCACACAGGTATAGCCGTCACCGCTAAACTAATCTGAGGCTCTACTGTAAACGGACAAAACATAGCGCGTCCGCCATTCATTAACCCGGCCGGGCCCGGGGGGGGGGGGGGGTAATCCCAACCACCGCAGCCCGGGGGGGGGCGTTTTTCGCCCCCCTGTCTAACTCCGTAAATAAGGGAGCTACGGAAACAAAAGCGATACCAAACGAAAGGTCCTTACGAGACGATTCTAAAGCACCTAAAATTTTTGACCTCAGGTCAATTTTCAAGGTCAGAGGTCAAGGTCAAAGGCAAAAACCGGCACATGTGTAGTGATCTCAAAGTAAGCCTTCTAGAAGACGGCAGGCGGCATCAAACCGGCAAAATTGGGTGTCAAACGAAAGGAGAGAATCTGAGGATTCTGAAAATGTGCTCAAAGTGAAAGGTCAAGGTCAAGGTCACGCTCAAAATTGACCTCAAACTTGGCACTTTTTCTTGGCATCTTGCGTGCTAACTTCCAAGATGTTTTGAAATGTTTTGAGGCTTATCAGTTCCCTATTTGTGGTTCATCTTACGACACAAGGCTGCTCAAAGGTCAAGGTCACTGAAGAGTATCCCTGCTAGAGGCTATTTCACTAATTCAAGTTAGCAATAATAAATAAGACAATTTTGCCATCCGGAAGCTCTAAATGAAGGCTTAGAGGAAAATAGATGCCAGATTCGTGATCAGCGGGTACAAATCCATCATAAACGACCTTTCATGTGTCAAGGTCAACCAGAGGTCATTCGAGGTCACATGAGGTCAACATAAAACTTGACCTTTTCCGAACAAAATATATATCATTCGACGCGGCTTGACAAGGCGAATGCGATGGTACCACTGCCGTAGCTCTAAGACCATTTTTGTCGAAGTTATTTGCGAAAAACTAAAACCACATTTCGGGGTCGTTGACCTGACCTCTGACCTCAGGTCACCAAAACTATTTTTCTATTTTTCTCTAGGTCAAACGCTACACAACCGTGCTCGTAATTTGTCTTTATCTCTTAAACTCTATTTTTAGCAGCTATTTGAAGTTTGCGTCTGTGACGCCGAAGTTTGCCGTGCAGGGGTCTAGAAAAATGGACCTTGTGACGTCATCAAGGGGGCTAGGTCCAAATTTTTTACTTCAGAAGATGTCAAATTGATGGGAGAAAAGGTACTGAAAGTTTCGCTTTCCTATCCCTAAGCGTTCGGGAGCTATTGCAAATATTCGCCAGGGGGGGGGGGCGAAAAACGCCCCTCCCCGGGCCCGCGAGGGTTAACCCGCGCCCCAGTGGCGGTCTCAGCCACCTTCGCCATAGTGGGGGAGGCATATGTTACCACCCATCTCTAACAAAAAAAAAAAAAAAACTGAAAGGGCTGGAAAGGTGCGGTAAAAGCAGTCGATAGCTCTCAATGCGTTTGTTTGAAAGTATTTTAGTCATTTTTCATCTTAGAGCAATATTGGGGTCACCAGAGGTCATCAAAGGTCAAAAATTTGCCAAATGACATTATATTTTTCAGAAAACATGCCGCTATCTCAGGAACTATGATAGCTAGAAAAACGCACGGACAAGCAAACGAATAGCTTTTGGACTCTTCTTTTGATAAGGTCATCATCAAAATTGACCTCAGGTCAACGGTTGAGCCACCATAGGTCAAACATTGTGAAAATAGCTGTTTTTGGATATCTTTCACGGATAACTTTTGAACTAGCAAAGATGAAGAATTGGCAATGGCACTATCGTGTAACTCTCCTTCAAACGCTTCGAATAAATATATTTTTACCTGGAAAAGTCGAGGTCAAACTTTGACTTCATGTCAAGGTCACGTGGTGACCCAAATAGGTCATATCGCATGTCTCCGATGCGTCTCGACAAGACAAACACAATGAAGCCATCCCCAGCGTTCTATCTCTTTCCAATCGAGAGTTATTGGCAAAAATCTGTTTGTAGCCTCAAATGACCTGGGATTACCTATCTAGAGGCTATCAGCAAAAAAGACACCTTGGTCGTCAGGGTGGTCCAAATCATTGTGATTCTGAAATATTTGGACTGTTCTTATGCGTACACGCGGATCTAGAGGCCTGTTCATTTTTCTCTATTGACACGCTACTGGAAAATGGAACGGAAAGGTCACGCCACTGGCCTGACCTTAGGTCACGGATATAAAAATCTGAGATATACAAATTATAGGTGCCCATAATATCATGCAATCCGCCAAGTTTAAACCTCTTAACCCGCGCCCTGCTGAGGGGGGGGGGTTAAACACCCCCCTGTGGTTTACATGTTGTAAAAATTTCAGACCAAGGTCATTTCAGGTCAGATCACCAAGTCACTTGAAGTGACCTCACCTCATAAAAAGTTTCAATGTCTGCCATAGCTACACCGAGTGGCCGATCGCTTTGAAATTTTCAGCGATTGCTAAGAGCAAGAGCATGTACAAAACGTATATCTCAGAATTTTGACATCGATGACCCAAGGTCAGGTCAATTTTGAGACCTCCCCATTATAAGTCAATGGGAGAGAGAAAATTGAAATGCGCCTCTTTTGGACGAAAGACATTATAAACACTCCCAAACACTGAATTACAAGTGGCTTAGACACACTGAACATGAAAATGGTGTCCGTGACCCCTGTTTATGCCCTCTCAGGTCACGAATGGTATCTAACAGTTTTTCGCAAATAACTTTTGATAGAGGCATGCTAGAGCGATGAAAACGCCTTAGATGTGTTCAACTCGACAATGCGTATCGACTGATATGCAACATGACCCTTTCCGGTCAGGTCATGACCTTGACCTGAGGTCATATTTTCAAGTCGACTTTTCAAGGTCAAGTTATAGTACATTCGATGTGTCTTGGCGAGAGGAACACGATGCCGATAAAATTAAGCTCGTACAAGGGTTGGGTCAAAAGTTATTGCAGAAAAACTGTTTCCGAAAAATCGGCTATTTTTGCAGTTGTTGCCCCCTGCAGGCAAATCCGTTGACGTTAGTTCAAATTTGAGAAAATTATTCAGAAAGGGCGTTGATAGGGCTATCGAATGCGCTTTTCCGCGGCGCTATAGCTCTATTGGTTCCCGAGTTATGCGTTGGCTTCTTGGAAATTGTCGACATTCGACCTGGAAATCGGCGAAATTTTGCCTTCAATGACCTCTTGGTGACCTGACCTCTGACCTAACCAAAAAAGTGACAGAAGTGATTCGTCATTATTTTTGGCGATCTTTCGAACGCCGCCTCCCGCGTATCGCTACGTGGCCCAGGAGCCGAGTTAGAAGGGGGTGTTCAAGCACCCCCCCCCCAGCAGGGCGTGGAAATCCAGGACCCCAGCCGGGCGCGGGTTAACAACAGGGCCTCGGCTAACATGTTAACTGGTGGGCCAAATGGCCCACCAGTGACCCGAAATGGCCCACCAGCCTCAAAGATTTGGCCCACCAGTAATTTTCCGAAAAATCGAAGTTTTCACATTTTTCACTTTTCAAATTTAAATAGCAGATCATTTCGTACATTTTCAGGCTGTAAAGTACCCATCGGTGAAACATATTCTTGTGAAAAAACTTCAACCTATTGTTTGCAATATCCTCTTGGGTGGACTATAGTACCCACAACTTTAAAAAAAAAATCCACCACCTACGTCTTTGCTGTATGATTTTTACTTCGATTTCCATGTGACGTCACAGTGCTTCCATGTCCGGTGGTGTCCGGTGTGCTCAACCGGACACCACCGGATATGGAACGGATATTAACGGATGACAAACGGACATCACCGGACGCTGACAGTTCTCGTCCGTTTCTCGTCCGTTGGTCCAATCCGGTGAAGTGTGACCGAGGCTTTAAATTTTATGCAATAATCGTGAAAGACGTCTGCCTCTGTCAATTACAGATAGTGTCGGCGGCTTCCAGCCGATCGAGGTCTGCGAAAGTTCTTGCAAGCTTTCCGATCGATCGAGTGGTTGCAGTCACATAAGCATCTGCTGCAGACAGTGGCGTAGCCAGAGATCAGCGAAAGGGGGGGCCATGGTGCTCGAGGGGGCGACTTTTTCCCTTGAGAGGGGCGCCATTGTCAGCTAGTGACAGGGGTGTCAGGCTAAAATGTAACGTCATGTTCATGCATGATTTACTATAGGTGTTGCAAAATACATAAGAACCAGCTTTCGCTGATTTTCATCAAGTCCAATTAATGCAATTTGCAGCCTGGTGTTTTTTTTTATCAAAAAACCTTGATCTAGATGAATTTTTAGCATGATATAGGAAACGAGCTCAGGCTACGGACATTTTATTCTCAAAATACGCATCCATGCGAATACGAAACGGTAAAATAACTATACGTTGATCGATAGGCAGAATCTTTATTCTTTGCAAAAAAAAAGAAAAATATACGGGCTCACTCACTGATCCGAAGTGACCTGTGGGCTGCAGCCTGTGGTCGACCGGGGTTGCCGTGTTTAGAATATCAGAGCGCACGTATGTAGGATACACGCTGCGACTTATTGCCTAAATTGGAATCAAGGAAAGACTTGAACAATTAAGACCACGAGATCCACCATGAGATCCCAACTCATTGTCATACCAGCAGCGACTGCAGTCAGAGGCGACCGAACGCTGACATACGTTCTGGATTTTTTCTCCACACATCCCCTTTACAATTCGATGTCTAGTGCGTGCAGCCCCTACTTCTGGACATGCATGACTGCCTCCAGTGACTGACTGCCACGCCTCCAGAGGGAAACAACTCCAAAAATAACAGTTTTTATTAAAATCGTTTTCTGCAATAGCTTTTGACTCAAGACAGTGACGACATTTATTTTGCCAGCATCGTATTCCTCTTGTCGAAACGCGTCGAATGAACTATACGTTGACCTTGAAACGTCATTTTGAAAATTTGACCTCAGGTCAAGATCATGACCTTGATGGACAGGGTCATGCTGCATATCACTCGATCCGTATCGTCGAGCTGAACACATCTGACGTGTTTTCACCGCTTTAGCAAGTCTCTATCAAAAGGTATAG